CCCCCGTGCAGAGCCAGGATCAGCCCATGGGAAGCTGCCCTCTGCCCGGTGCCACTGGAATGTGTCTGCCTGCAGCGGGTCATCCCAGAGATAGGGCCGGTTAATGACTAACAGGCACTGCCGGAACGCTGCCCCTCCACCTTGCTGGGCTGGATCCAAACCTTACAGCAGTGCTGGATTTGAGACCCACCACCACCTGCTTCCTACAGCGCTTATATTTTTTTCCCCTCTTCCCTCAGCAAAGCCCTGGTCTGTCTCTGCAGTCCGAGTCACAGCAGAGCCTGTGCCAAAGGCTGTAGGAAACGTCCGCTTTGTTCCAGCCCTTTGGGTTGGGTCTTCCTCTCCTGCAGCCCGATGTTCTCCTTGGTCCGCCCTCGCCCTTGCTCCGTGAATGAAGTTATTCCCCAAAGGCCACCCCAGCACAGCTTTGTGCAGCACAGGGCTTTGTGCAGCACAGGGGGTTTCCGGGCAGCATCGGATGCTGCAGCTGGAGACGCGTTACATCAGCCACACTTGTCTCTCGTCGCCCACCCCAGGCGACGTGGTAACGTGCCAGACCTTTCCAGCCCGAAAGCATGGCAAAAGAATTAAACATACAGGGGAAAACCAGCCTGCTTGCCCCTGGCCTTCAGAATTGTGCATGTGTTTTCTTTTCAGGCAAACCCGAGTTGTTTAGCAAGGTCATCACTGCTGGTCGTCGTATCGCAGAAGCTGACGGCGTTGCTGATGGGGACATCCATGGCAGGGACTTGGTGCATGGTGGGGTTTCGGTAGCTCTCAGTTAGGTCTGGCTGCTGCAGATGATGGCAGATACAAACCAACTACCTGACACAGGCACAGGACCTGGACTAGCAGGATTCCACCCAGCAGCTGCACTGGGAAGGAGGGGGGGGTAGGAAACAGGAGCAAACTCTGCTAAATTTCCTATGATTTCATGACTCATGAAAAAAAAAACCCTTCAACCGTCTCTGTCAACAGCACATCTGTTTGGGTATTTTCAAGGAATCTGGAATGCATTCTCAGAGCTCTCCCATGAGAAAAAGTAAACATGTCATATATAAAACACTTTTATTAAAACAAATATACACCACTTTATATACAAAAAAAAATGTACAAGAAAACAGTCTTATTGCAGCTTAGTGATTTGATTCTAATGTATTACATGCAAACTAAAACCTCTTCCGTCCCGCGCGCTCCGGCCCGGGGTGGGTCTGCGGGGCGGTACAGCTGCTGCACAGGAATCCGAGGGATCTTGGAAAGGCACGGTATGAACAGCGAGCTCGGCTCCTATCAGTGCAAAAATTGTTTCATGCAGCAGCTCAACTCTTACGTAGTAGATACAACACGTAGTAGATACAGCATGGCTAGGAGCAGGTAACAGCCTACGAGTGGACCTGGCTAACTGTGCGATGTGGAAGCAAAGCCTAAACTGAATTTTCACATTTTATTGGTCTAAACTATTTACACAGTTTAAAGGTTGGAAAGATGAACTATGTGATGGAGTAAATCACAGAAGAGAGAGCCAATTAGTGCAATTTTCCTGACTAAGTGTGCTGATAGGTGTTAAGGTCAATGTCCCCAGTGTTGCACAGGTAAGCAGCAACCAAAACGAGTAAGTGAGAGACTCCTTTGCAGCATCTCTCCCAAGCACTCTGTGGGTAAAGTGCTCATCGCATCTCACACGGGGGGGGGACGGTAACCCCCTCCCCAGGCCTCCGGCACACGATGCCATTCAGTGGTACCCCACCAGGTCGGACCCCGCGGCACAGCGGCAGCCTTCCAGCAAAAGCTTCCCCTCCGAAGCGACGACAAGGTGCGTACTGGGGCTGAGCATCTTCAGTGCCAGGAGTCCTGCTACTGAGATGGGAGTCTTTTTTGGTTTGGGTTTTGGTGGTTTTTTTGGTTTTGTGTTTTGGTTTGGTTTTTTTTTTTTTATACTGGAGTTTTTCTTGCTAACCTTTTCAGGCCTAAATGTTAAACGGAATATAAAAGCTACTTTCTTCTTTCAGTCAGTAACAACAATTTCTTCCATTCTCTTCAGGCTTGTCAGACTTTCTACCCAAGAGTAGTTCATGGTCAGAGGAAGCCAGGGGTTTACAAGCCACAGGGAATGACTTGCATGGTAGGTCTCACTGTATCCAGCCAGGAGAACTCTAGGCTGCTTTTCTGGTCAAAGAACCTGAACTCCGGCTCTCCTAGACAAAATAAACCAAGAATGAGTACTGAATCACACGCAGCAAGAGCAGACTAGTGCATATATGAATATATGTACATATATATGTGTACACGTGTGTGCGAGAGTGTGTGTATGTACATATAAATATATCAAAAATTAGAAGATTTCTCAGATGTGAGTAAATACCTTAGACTGGTATTTTGCTAAAATACTCTAAACACTTTCTATTAAACTGTCCCATTTCAGCTATTGCTCGTGGAGTTTCTTCTGCTACATCACGAGGGCTTCCTGAAAGCTGCCATAGCTTACGAGTGTATAACTTTAAGCCGAACCTGTTGTAGACTCTTGCAACAGGTATTTTTCTCCTTTCCCTTATCAATAAATTCCCTACAGCCTTCCAACAGGGTACTAGAAATCTCACAACACAAGGATGCACGAACTCCTCTATCGCGTCGCTCCCTCCCAATTAGCACCTTGCATGAAAACCCTCGTCTGCGCCGTCCCGTGGCCCGGCCCGTCACCGAGAACCGAGGAGTCTGTACCTGAAGTCGTGTCGATCTCCCCGTCCTGCTCCTTGTAGCTGAAAGTGCTGTACAGGGTCTGCGTGCCCGGCTCGTTGGTGAGAAAGCCTTTCCCCTCGACACTGGTGGCACGCCAGTCCTGGGCTGGTTCAAGCAGCTGCAAGAGAGAACAAGGAGATGGGAAAAACTGCTGCTGCTTTCTGTGGGAGCAGTGTTTTCTTCCTTTCTCTAAATTAGAAGACAGGTAAGTGAAAAAGATCAAAATATATCTTCTTATGCTAAATTATATAAAACTGTTTACTCCCAGTTTAAAAAAAAAAGAAGTTAATCAAAAGAGGGAGGGCCAGAGCACCTTTGGTGATGAAACTCCCATCTTATCAGTGGGATGAGTGTGACATGTCTGCAAACACAGATTAAGCGCTACACATGTCGGAGGTGGAGGGGAGGGCAGAATAAAACAGTCTAGAGAACCTTTGCAGACTCTAATAGAGGGACCTTTACTTCTAGTAGTACCCAATAGCTTTCTCTGACTTTGACATGAAGAGTAAATACTTCCATGGATGTGTCCTCTCCAGCTCATGTGTGCAAAGTAGCCTTCTTTTTATCTTTAATTTTTCAGGCTGCCTCATTAGATAAGGGTCTTGGATTACATGAGCGTATGTTCAGTGCGTATGGGACGGGACCAGGCTGCTGCTTCCCATCCTCCCTCGGTGCAAACAGCAACTTTGCCCAATTTTATTAGGACCAGACGGGCTGCTTTTACCTTAAAAATCTCCGAATTAATTTCATCTTCATCTTCGTCTGTGACTATTTTGGAAGCACATAAAAAAAAAAGAGAACAGACATAGACGTCAACTTTTCACACGGTAGCCCTCATGGTTCTGCTTCTCCACCACACAACCCACTTCATTTTCTCCTGTCACGTACCACCACTACCTTTTACTTCCACCCACCATGGATAACGCTGAGGAGGGGCTCATGGGTTTGGGGCACGGGGGCCCGTCAGTACTCCGTGCCCCCTGGTTGTGCACCCCAGGTAAGAACCACTCTGATATATCCATGTTAATTATGTTTTTTCCCATTAGCAAGCACGGTTACCTGTGCTGTCACTGTTGTAACTAATTCTGTCCTGCTGGCATTGCTTCCTTCCAGCTGCCTCAGAACCCCCAGTCCCACCCTCCCAGCTCGGAAATCTCTCCTCTTCTTGACGGGCTGACCTGTCTGTGCCATCACGTTGAGCCTGTGAGACAAAGCCTGGCCCTTTGCCCAAAGGAAATGGCACTTCAGAGCCTTTCACCCATGGGCAACTACTTCTGCAGGTGGCACGTGCCAGCCTCTTCCCTTCTGTAACCTGGCCAGTTTGGTAGTTCCAGACACCCAAATCCATCAGCTGGAGGTTGGTTTTTCTACAGAACAACTCTTGGTTTCTCCCACTGCCCCAGGCACTCCTTTGATCCCGCTGCCTCGCCTCCAACCTGCCTCCAGTAGACCCATGAAAGACCAAGGTAGGAAAAAAGAAATACCCACCTTCCGAGGATGAAGCCAGGGGAGACACTTGAAGCTGGTAGAGGTCGTTGGTGCTGTCAGCCATGGTGATTTCCATCGGTGGCCTCCAGTCGGTCAGGGAGCCGCTCACCTCGCACGAGGAGAGGTCTGCGGGATGCACCAGGATGAGTTGGCACTCACAGGACAGCACAAACACCTCCATTTCCTCCCTGCCCGCCCAACGGCCCAGCCCCAAGAGTTGTCTTTGTCTTTTGGCGCAGAGATTGTGGGTTTCGCACGAACGGCACTTTCCACTCTGCTCGGAGAGCTGAAAACTGAGGCTCACCTAAGGTGATGGACGTGCTCTCAACCTCCACTTCCTGCCCCGCATAGTCATGAACGGTGTAGCCGCTGTGGTCATCTGGCAGGGGAGTGGTGGTTAGTCTTTCTGCCGACTCCTCCATCCTCATGTCTTCATACAGCTACAAAAATAAGGGCAAAGCATGCAAGACTTGTCTAAGAACACACAAGTTCCCATATGAAAAAAATTAAGCATGAAAACCACCAAAACCTCCAGCTTCTTCAGCTGCCTCTACAGACACATACCTTTCTCTTGCTCCTGTTTCTTGCCTCTCTTGAAGACTTTGACTTCCTTTCTGTTAAACAAAAATAGGACGAACATGAGAAAGGGCTGCAGGGCTGACATTTCAGGTGAGCGTGAGCTCTTGCAGCTTTGAGCCCTGCTCTGCTACCGCTGCGCGCGGCAGCGAGTCCCCATCGCCTCCTGATGATGCCTTTAGGCATGTTTAAACAATTTGGGATAAAATGAGCCATTTGTACAACCTGGTACCCATGGCAATAACCAGTGACTGACCCCAGTAGGTGCTATTAAAGGGTTTTTACAGCCCTGCCTACGCGGAGCGGGAAATTTAAGCGGCGTTTAAGCGCAAGGTGCGTAATCCCGGCTGGATTGCTGAGGCCTTACCTTTCTTCTGATCCTTTGTCAAGGGTGGCAGCATCCTGTAAACCCTGACAGCACTGGAGCCTTTGTTGATGCTTTTATCCTTCACTTCTTCAATGTCAGGCAGGGAATTCATAGCACAGCGGAAGTTCGCCTTCCAGGTCTTCGGGTCAGGGTTTTTCTCACCCTCTTTATATCTTCCTATAAACAAGAGACGGGGTGAGTGTTTAGACTTTTCAATGCTAGTTCTTCCCACCAAAAAAAAAAAGTTATGTTTCCATTTTCTCTGACATATATGTCAGAAGTTACTACAACTGCCTGAAGTGGAAGTCAAGACAAAAAAATGCCATGTTTGAGATATTGGTACGACCGCTGGAAAGTGAAGCCTGCACACACCTGTATGAATGGCCCAGCTCCGGAACAGGCAGGCGTCTTTCTCCATGTCCCACCCATGCTTAGCTGCATGTTTCCACGGGATTTGAAACATCATCTTGTCCTGAAGTTAAACCAATAGAAATTTGAATTAAAAAAGAAGCATCACGTGCTGGTTTGGAATGATGGATGTAGTCAAAGAATTCTCAGCAGTAGCTCAGATATTTTATAAGCCCTGTATCTTAATTAAACATCCATTGTTTCATCTGTTTTGTTCAAGGCACTTAAGGCTTTTTACAGGTTCTGAAACTGGGAAAAAAACCCACATGTGGTACAGTACAGTGGAAGTAAGCAATACTGTCAATTTTATCGCAGAACCATTTAAATATGTTGCCTCTAACCTATTAGTATGTTATAAATGACACTATATTTTCCAGGTACACTTTGGTAGAGAATCCCTTGCTAAAGTTGCCCCCAAGATCCTGCAGGAATCCTAAGAAAAACATGTTCTAGCTTAAATAGCACCTTGGGATGGATATGGAAACTTCAGAGAAAGAGACCTGGTTCAGTCAGCCTGGTGATCTCACCCTGCGGTACAGGCACAGGGATGTGCCTTCTGGACCAAAGCATGACAAATCCAGAGCTTCTTTCAGGCCAGATCTTAAAACTGGGAGCAACCGTGAGAGTAACAGCAGCTACTCAACTGGGACAGGAGGTGACTTGACTCAAGTGGGCAGCAGGAGTTAAAAGAGATCTTGGAGTCTTCTTGGTTCTCCATCATGTTCAGATTGCTTTTGTTTTAATCTATTATTGCCCTCCTGGGAATATTCCCAGGGAAAAAATGGAACTACTGCATTGTGTACCAACCAGAGCTCCCTTTTCTGAAAACAAAACCAGTTGGTTTTTAAACATAATGCTTGCAAGTCTTCGTGTTCTTCTCTCCTTTATGATCTTGATTTATGCTCAGTGTCATCTAAGAGCAAGGATGGGCAATGATACAGAAGTAATAATAAAGATAATAATAGTAATAAACAGCCCTCACCTTGTTAATCCATATCAGTCCTGGTATTTGGTTGGAATTAATCTGCATTTCCAGCCAGGGCCTCATGCGCATTCTTGACACTGGCATGTTGTCTGTGAAAGAAATGACAGGTCAGAAAAAAAACCTCATCACCATTTTAATCGTTCTGCAATGCCACCCCTCCCTTCCCCTCTGTACTGCGGGCCCTACCACTAACGCTATCGGCACAACCAAAACCACTTCTCCAGCATCTTAACTCTTTTTCCTGTATCTTCCACCTGCTTCTGGATCCCAGTGCTTCCTGGTCAGCATCAAAAACACGCCTGAAGGTTTGAGTTCTGGAAAGGGGCTGATTGCAGGGGTGGGCACTCCTGGGATGCAAGGGGAGCTTTGCGTGGGACAGGACAGCCCGGGGGGTAGC